GCCCCCGGGGGCGGGGCCTTTCCGGGAGAGGGGTGGAGCTGTCCTCGGGGGCGGGGCCCTTCCGGGAGAGGGGTGGAGCTGCCCCCGGGGGCGGGCCCGGGACACAGGGGTAGGTAGGCTGTCTGGGAGGAGGAGGAGGAGGAGGCCCTGCCCCGGGGTGGAGTTAGTCAGCAGAGGGGGCGGGGTCCTCCTGAGGGGCGGGGCCAGGCACAGGCGTCACCTGGGCCGCGGGTGTCCCGCAGGTGTGTGGGAGCCGGTCCTCCAAGCGCATCTCCAAACTGGCCTATCACCGGGGAGTTGTCATCGTGACCTGCCCCGGCTGCCAGAAGCACCATGTCATCGCCGACAACCTGGGCTGGTTCTCAGACCTGGACGGGAAGAGGTGAGGCCCCGTGGGCAGGGTGGGGGGACAAGCCCCCCTGGGGTTGGGGCCCCAGCCCGCGTCCTCGGGGCTCCCTTCCTGTCGGGAGGCTCGTGGAGCCTGCCTCCCCAGCCTGTGCATACAGGAGGGGCTGTTAGGTTTGAGTTTCGGGGAAACCACAAACGGCCCGGGCAGGGATGGGACCAGCCCCCTGTGGTCCTGCTTCGCTGCCGGACCTCTGCCCTCACTGCCGGCCTGTCCGTGTCCGGGCTCCAGGCCGCCCCTGAAGTGAGGGGCACGCTGGGCTGAGTCCTGCAGCACAGACTCCCTTCCATCGTGTGGCTGCTTCGTCCCCACAGAGATGTGCGGAGTGTCAGCTCCGGAGCAGGGCCCTAGCGCGTCACTCGCGGTCTCTGCCCGCGCTGGCTGGCCGGTCATCACACCAGACTGGGGGTGTGTGTGAGGCGGAGTGGACCCCTCATGGGCAGGAGCCTCCTGGCCGGTGGCCCTGGGCCGTTCTGTGGGACTTCTGAGGGGCTCTTCCGCTTGAGATCGGGTTAGTAATAGCAGCTGCCTCTGGGGGCTCTGAAGGGTTCGTGAGGTCAGCGTGCAGCGCCTTGTGGCCACACCAGCAGGGGCCCCACGCTCCGGCTCCAGCCTGGCCCTGGGGTGCCCTTGGGTGCACTTGAAGACCCAAGGTGCCAGATGGGCTCGGGGCTGAGAGTGATGCCTTCTCTCTCAGGAACGTTGAAGAAATCCTGGCGGCCAGAGGGGAGAAGGTGTGCCGAGTGGCTGGTGAGGGGGCCCTAGAGCTGGTTTTAGAGGTTGCCGGGAACCCCAAATCCACCACTGCTCCAGAAGGGGGCGAGGGCCAGGACCCCACTCATCCTGGCAAGACGGAGCCCAGCTGACTCTGTCTCTGCCTTCCAGAAGATGCTTCGGCCCTTCCGGGCTGGCCTGTCTTCTATCAATAAACACATCACTCGGAGATGGTGGGGCGTGGGGCCTTCTTGTTGTCCCTGGTTCCGGAGTCAGAATGATTCCGAGGAGCCTCCGCCAGGTGCTGGTCCTGGTCCTGCGCTGTCGCTCTGCACAGAGGACGGGCCCTGTACTTGCCGCTCGCGGCTGTGTCTGTGTGGGGGGAGGCTGGACGGGGAGCCTGAGCCCCCAATCCCCGGCCATGGCCGGTAGCCCTGGGCGGTCCCTCTGCCCCTCTGAACCTCCGCCTTCCCATCAGATGAAGATGCTAATGGGACACCCTGTCAGGAGGAAGGGCAGGAAGACAAGACGTGGGACAGGTGTGGGGGGGCGCGGACGTGCTCTGCAGGCCGGGGCCCCGGTCTTGCTGGGTCTGGGGCGGGTGCCTGGAAGGCATGGCTGATCAGCCACTGTTCTTCCTTGGGGAGCAGCACCCACCACGGGTCCTGTTCCTCTGGCCAGACACGGGGAGGTCCTACAGATCCCCCTTCCTCCTGTGCCCCCTGCCTTCCCCCGACACCTCCTGGACAGCGCTGGTGAGCCAGAGCCGCCCTCGGCCCTGACCCTTGGCTGCTGGCCAAACGGAGTCAACAAATCAGGCAGCTCCCTGTGGCCACAGCGGGGCCGGGTGGCCGCCGTGGCGAGGGGGGTGGGAGTCGCGGTGGGCCACATGCCCCACGTGGTGCCCTCCCCCCAGGGGCGTGCGGTTTGTCTCCCAGCCTTGTTTGACGGCCTGCTCAGGATGTTCCTGTGTTTATGGGAGTGCGTGTATTTGCAGAAGTGTGACCTTCACTATTAATCACCAGCCACGGTCTCGCAGCTCCTGGCAGGATCCGAGCTGACTGCTGCCCTGCGTCAGCGCCCCGGGCTCTGCCGTTGTTCTCCAGGGCGCTGGCACTGGGTGCTTTAACTCAATTACCCCCTGTCTTTCCGCTGGCTAACAACCACTTGTTATTCCCCCTCAGAGCCTCCCGTGTCGTTTGCGGAGACTGTCGGCCTGGAGGCTGAGCCAGCCCCTGTGCCTGACTCCCTCACTGTCCCCAGGTCCCCGCCAGACCTGAGAGTGCAGACCTGGACAGAGGAGGGCGGCCCGGGCCAATCTCGCCCTTCACAGATGGGGAAACTGAGGCCCGGGTTGTGGACATGGGTAGAGACCATATTTCTATTTCCTGTATTCTGATGCTTGACGTCCAGGCCCCGCTGACCCCAGTGAGGTTGCCCCTCTTGGGTTAGTGCCTAGAGATAGTGAAAGACTCGCCCATGGTTGCACTCCATGGACAGGTACCAGCCCAGAGCCACTGAGATGGTTCACACCATTGCTTCCCAGGGAAACCACAGCTCCTGGAGCCACAGAGAGGCAACGTGGCACCCTGTGGTACTTGCCTGCAGAGCCTTCTCAGGGCACCAGGATTCCCAGAGCACCGAGAACTGTTGGGTCGGGGGCTCTAGTGATAGTCCCCCGGGGCCCCTGGGGGTGCCTCCCTGTGCGGGCGTGTCCTGATTGCGGCCCCTACCTGCAGACCTCCCTTCTGACCAGCTTTCGCCCTCCCCATGCCACCCTCACCTTGGGGGTCTCCCGACCCCCCACTCCCGCCGTGCTGTGCAGCCTCCTGTGGTCAGGTGGGGTGCTCCAGGCCGAGCGGGTCACCACAAGTGAGGTAAGTGAGGCACCCCCTGCCTCGCCTGCTTCCTGGGCCCTGCATCTGTCCTCCTGGGGACACAATGCCACAGAGCAGCTGTGGGGTTGGGGTGTCTGCTTGGGGGTGTGCTCCCCCTCTTCACAGACGGCTCCATTGCACTCATCGGCCGGTGGTGCCAGGGCTGTGAGGTCGTGGGCGCTCTACACCTCCCTTGCTCCGGGGCCCCGAGCAGGTCCCAGGCGGGTGGGCCACAGGTCTGCAGCCCGTGAAGACTCAGGCCTGGAAAAGCAAGTGCGCGCCTGGACAATGTGTGACTTTGTCCAGTTGGGACAGACAGCTACTCCCAGGGCGGAAAACAACAGAACCCACCTGTCACCAAGTGGCTGGCTGGTGCCATTGCGGGGGGCTTGGAGCAGGTGGTGGCTCCAGGCCCTTTGCACGGTGCAGGCTTGCTTACCCAGGTAAGGTCAGTCACCTGGGGCCCCCCCAAAAGACCAACATCCCCTCATCCTTAGCACTAATTCTGACACAGACAGCATTCACTTGGCAGACTTTATTTTTTTGGGAAAAAGAAAAAAATGTACCTCTTGGGTTGGAAAGGACCCACTGACAGCATGGCAAACACGCATGAGCAATAAATATGCATGTACATTCAAGTATGTGGGGCGGCCCAGGAGAAGCCTCTGTTCTGGCCTCTGACCCCGCCCCCGGGCTCCCACCCACACCCTTCAGAGCATGGTCACAGCGGGCCCGGGGCCCCCAGGCTGAACTGCGGGGTGGGGGTCCGGCTGCCTCCCCTTGCTTGGAGAGCCTTGGAGAAAGACCGAGGACCCCAGGGGCACCACCTCAGGAGAAGGTGCCCCTCATGCCCCGGGGGCTGTGGGGTCGTGGCGTGGGGCTAGGGGCTCACCAGAGGGCTGGTGGCGAGCCAAGGCAGTGTCCTGCCCAATCCCGCGGGCTGACGATGTGTGGGGGCTGGACCCTCCCCACAGGAGAAGGCAGTGATGTCATCTTCCCAGCTGAGGGCTGGGTGCTCACCTGGGGGCCCAGGGTTGAGCCGAGCTGAACCCCCCCCAGCTTCTGCTGGCCGCCCCGGCCCTGGTGTGGTCAGGGTGCAGACCTGGCTGCCAGCTGGCGTTCCAGACCAGGCCTGTTCTGTCCCTGGGCTTCGGGGCTTGGAGTTGAGGGGTGCCACGGCTCATCCCCACCCGTCCCCTTGCCTCCCTGCTCAGGACTGGGCGCCAGCTGGGGCTGGGGGCCGAGAGCCAGGGCCCAGCAACCGTGCGTGGGGGCACCTGGCCTGCATCAACTGCCTCATCAGGCTCCAGGCTTTCTGACAGGCTTCCACCTTCTCCAGCCCAGAGGAGGCGGGGGCGGGGGGCGCAAGAGGCCGGGACTGGGGCAAGCGCGTCTGCTCTGTCATCCCTGGGACCCCCTCTGGGAGGACAGAAACGTCCATGTCGCTGGCAGGCCGCACAGCAAAGGCTTCTGAGCGGCCTTTGGGGGCTTAGGGGAGGCAGCAGTTTTCACATTTGCCGGGCAGGATGGAGGGATGGAGCTGGGCGGGGCAGGGAGAGGCCATGGAGGGTCTGGAACCAACAAGCTGCAGGCTGGACCTGGGGCAGGGACGGGGCAGGGAGAAGGCCGGGCTGGGCAGGCCTGCAGAAAGCCGTGTCCCGCCGGGGAGCTGGTCCAGGACAGAGGCATGCCCACCCGCCCAGGGCAGCCCCAGCCTGAGCCTGCCACCCTGGGAGGGGGACAGCGTGGGGGCTGTGTGCCCCGCATCTGCCACAGTGGGAAGGGCCAGAGGGCCTGCAGTCAGCCATGGCCTCCAGAGGAATGGGCTTCTTGCGGGGCCGTGGGCATCACAGAGGACGGCGCGCCCCCCGGCCCCGAGGCCAGGAGTAGGGGTGGGGCCAGCCTGGCTGTGGCTGCAGGATCTTAGCTGGCACCAGACTGGCACGGCTGCCGGGGCTCAGGGCTCCCGCCCACCTCCTGCTCGGGGCTCCCGGCGAGGTCCACCCGCTGCTCATCCATCCGTTTGGCCTGCACCCTCTGGATGAGGCTGAAGAAGTCCTCGTCAGGCATGGTGGGGCCGCGGGGCAGCACGTCAGGAGGTGGGCAGCGCTGGTCATCGATCCTGGAGGACTGGGTGGACACAGACACGTGGGTTGGCAGCTTGGGCCTCCCCCGCCTTGGAGGGCCGGCCTAGGACGTGGGCCCAGTGGTCTCAGGGACAACGCCCAGGCAGGGGCTGCTGGCCAGCGAGCGGCTCTCCCTGCATCTACCCGTAAAATCAGCTCCGCGGGCAGTGCTGAGAGCCTCTGCCCAGGCCACCCCGGGAGGAAGGGAGGGCTGAGTAACCGCCAGGCACGGGGTGAGCAGGCCGGGGCACGGGGCTGCTGGCCGGCCTTCCGTACTGCGCCCAGCACCACCTGACAGGGATGTGCTCAGGAGTCCCGGGGGCAGGACTGGGGGCCGCAGCTCCCTGAGCCCAAGGTGCGGAGCTCCCTGGGGCCCCCCATCAGGCCAGGGGGCCAGGGCGGGGCCGAGGGGGCCGAGGGGGGCCTTTGGGCTTCTGTGCAGGGTCTGGAGCAGAAGGGCTGGGAGCCGGTGCAGCTGCTGGAGCGTGCGGGCATATGGGCCAGGGGCTCGGGGGTTTTCTGCAGGGGCTGGTTTTGAGGATTTTCGGACTCGCCCGGGGCCGCGCTTTCCTCTGCTCTGTAGGAATGAAGATCACATCTGTAAACTGCACCGTCCCGTGTGAGCCAGGCCATGGTCTTTCCTGCAGCCTTTCATGAGGTCCCTGAAACCCCTCTGCCGTCTTGCCCTGCCTGGAGGCGCAGGGGGCCAGACCCCGCCATGGCGGCGCCCCCCAGCTGGAGCTCCTGCCCGATGAGAAGGGCTTTCGGGAGGGGGAGCCCAGGAAGAGGCCTCAGGTCTGAGCACCGAGGGCACCCGGTGGCACCAGCAGAGCCAGCCTGAGATGGACGGGCCAGAGCCCACCGCGGGCGTCAGGAGCCTCCACCAGCCACGAGGGCGAAGGGGCCCCGGGCCACCTCGGGGCAGGGGTGGGCGCGGTGAGCACCCCCAGCCTCCCCAGCTGCAGGCCCACCTGGCACTTGATGAGCATGTTGAAGAACTCGTCCCCCGGCTCCTGTGGGTCCCCGTCCCCGCGCAGACGGCCCAGGTTGCTGTGGGTGACGCGCAGCCCAGGCAGGCTGCCCACGCTGGCCCGCTGGTCGTCCAGCCGGCGGCCCTGGGAGCTGGCAATGAGGTCCAAGAGCTCCTCGGTCTGCGGGGAGGCCATCAGCGAGGGCTGGGCTGTGGGGGCAAGGTCGAGGGAGGGGGCCCCCCCCGCGGGCCAGGTCAGCCTGAGCCCAGCCCCGCCCTCCACGCTCCCCCGGGGCATGGGGGTCCCAGGGGTGTCTCTGCTGGCCCCAGACCCCAGCTGCCCTGGGTTGTCCCTGTCGCAGGCCCCACGCCCACCCCCGGGGACTCCTCGGTGACGGTGACGGGAGGAAGGCCTGGCTTCCCACGCCTGCTCAGAGCCCGCCATGCACCCTGACATGGTGTGTTCCAGAGGGCGGGGATGATGACATGCTTCCCAGGATGTAGCTTTGGGCGAGGCGGGGGACGAGGCGGTGACAAGGGGCACTTTTGCAGCTGGTGTGCCCCGCCCCCCAGGAACAAGGGCTCCCAGGGGCACCGTGGTGGAGGGCAGGGAGGGAGCGTGGCAAGGACAAGAGGAGCTCCACGGGGGACACTCACCGACCCTCTCCTCCGGGGTGGGGGCAGCTGTGGCCTCGGCGGCCCCGGGCTGGCCCTCCTCCAGGGGGCAGCGCTGGTCGTCCATTCGGCTGCTCTGGAACTTGCTCAGCAGGTCAAAGAAGCACTCTTCGTCGGAGGATGGGGCCCGAGGGATGCTCTGGGGGGGTGGGGGTGGGCAGCGGCAGTCAGCATTGGCTCTGGCCCAGCCACAGTGGCCCGGCTCTGGTCACCAGGCCCTCAGACCCCTGGACACCACTGAGGGAGCTGCTCAGCCGGGGATAAGGTCAGGACCCTCGCCCCACCTGCCCATCCTTCTCCCGGCATCAGCCCTGTCCAGGCCTCCGTTGTCCTCCCACACCCTGCCACCCAACCCCTCCTTGCCCTCCTGGAGCGCTCCCCGCCCAGCCCGGTCACCACCGCTTCCCAACAGCGTCCCTGTGCCCCACGCCCCCCAGCCCCTGCCCCGTGGGACTCTGTCACACGCTTGTGTCAGCCCCTGCCACGAGCTCCACCTGTGCCCGCCCCTCTGGGGCCCAGGCACCCAGCACAGCACTCACCGGTGTCTGCCAAATGGACAAATCAACCAGTAGTGAGTGCCTGACTAGACCCTGGGTAGGCAGGAAGCCCTGCTGCCGTTTTACATATTACAGTGGTCTGTGCCAGGGCCCTGGCAGCAGTGGTGGTGGATCCGGGGCCAGCAAAGTCAGGTCATATCACCAAAGGCAAGGAGCCACGGCTGGGGAAGGTGAGGGCTCCTATGTTCCACCCCAGTCCCACCCCTTCTGGGCTTTGGGTGCTACACCCGTGGGCAGGCCCAGAGGACAGATGTGTGGCGGCCAGGATCCCAGGTGTGGGGTGTTCGGGCTAAAGAGAAGGTGCTAACATCCCCCAGCCTCTCCCTCTGCATGCTGGCTGAGGTGCCCAGGGTCTGCTCTGGGTGGCTGGGGGGCAGAGCCTGGACACACTGGGAGCACAGAGACTCTGGGAGATGCCATCACTGTGCAGCCTGGGTGGTGGGGAGGGCTGACCCAGGGGCCACCCGCTAGGTCTAGGCAAACCCCCCTGATGGGACCAGGGAGGGGACGGTGGTTCTCAGAGGGAAGGGGGAATGGGAAGTGGCAGACCAGGCCACTGGACCTGGCTGAGTCCCAACTGGCAAACACACTCCCTATCTGGGCCTCAGTTTACACATCCATAGGAGGGGAGGCTGGAGGGCAGGGCCAGGGCTGGTCCCCCCACCAGCCTCACCACGTCAGGTCCCAGCTGAGGGCTGACTGGTGGATGGGGCAGCTTCCAGAGGCCACCTTCACCTCCCCTCTGACACCAGTGCCCCCTGCCCAGCCCTGGCCTGTCCGCCTCTCAGCTGGCTGGGTCCCAGATCTCCTGACGACCCCTAACCAGCCCACTGCAGAGGTGGATACTGGGGCAAGGGAGCCTGCACACCTCCAAGGCCACAAGGAAGCAAGGGGCAGGCTGGGGAACCCCCAGACAGGCCCAGCCTGGGCCCCCAGGGGGGCACGGTCCCTGAAGGCCAAGAGTGACCCAGGGAGGGGCAGCTGAGTGGGTGGTCCCGACACAGCCCATGTGTGAGCTGGACCAGCAGCTGGCAGTTCGGAGGACAGAGACCCCACCCCTGTCCCCCCAGGGCAGGCCCAGAGCCAAGGCTGGGGTAGTTCAAGATCCCCCCAACTCAGGGCTCTGCTGTCCTGCAGAGCCCGGAGCGAACTGAAAGCTGGTGCTGAGTGCAGAGGGGCCCTGGCGGGGGTGGGGGGGTGGGGGCTGCACTTGGTGGGGTGGTCAGGGCCCAGCATCAGCCCTGCTCTGGTGGGGGCTGCGCAGGTGCCTCCCCAGAAGGTCAAGGGCTGTTCACTGGTCACTTGGGGCCCCAGGCTCAGCCAGGGGTGGGGGTAAGCACAACACCACCCACTGCAGGGGACCCCAGGTGGACTGTGGACCAGGTGAATGGAGCCAGGCCCCTCCTGGAAAAGGTGTAGCCCTGGGGCCCCTCTTCTCTAGACACATGGGCACCCAGCACTCCTCCAACCTCCCCTGGGCTGCGCTCGGGGCTCAAGGAGCTGAAGTAGGTGCTGTTTGCCCAGAAGCTTCTCCTGGCCTCGTCACCCCTGTAGCTGGGGTGGGGGCAGAGAGGGCCCAAGAGCAGAGCTGTCTGGGCCACCGGTGAAGGCCTGGGGCTTCCCTCGTTTGGGGGGGGATGTGGGGCTGAGGCCACAGGTGTGCAGGGTGAGGCCCTGCTCCCCTCGTGTAGGATGCCACCCTGGGTCCCAGCCTCTCCTTTGCCCCCTGACTCTGGCTCCTTCTGGCCCGCAGGACTTCCAGCCCTGGGTCTCGCCAACTCCTCGCACCCCTGCCTGCCTGGGGGAGACAGCTGGAGCGGTGCTGGAGCGCACCCGACAGCCCCGCTCCGCCCCACCCCCCGCCCCGTCCAGCTTCACACGGCCGAGCGCTCCCGAGCCTCCCCGTGCCCGGGGCCCCACACTCACGCTGGATCCAGCAGCAGGGGCCGGGCGCTGCGCACTACTCAGTATCCCCAGCCCGGCCGTGTGGCGTCTGTGCTGTCCCTGTCGGCTCAGGGCTTAAATAGGCCCGGGGGGGGGGCCCATCCCCGCCCCGGCCCCCCACAGCGCTCCCTCGCTCCGGCGGGCGCACGCACACGCTCTGTAAACACTCGGAGACTATTTCCAGCGCGAGGGCTCCTGCTCCGGCCCACGGGCGGTCGGGCCAGAGGGCCGAGGGCGATGGAACCTGTCTGGGGAGCACTGTTCCTGCTGACAGGGGCCCGGCTTCCTTCCAAAGCGGGGTCAGCCCAGGAGAAGCGGCCTCTTTCTTCAGCCCTGACTCCTGAGGCTGGGGCCACCGCAGCCCCCCGAGGAGCCAGAAGGATGCTGGCCTCTCCCACGGGCACGGGCCGTGCGGCCACTCCCCACGCAGCGGCCCCAGGGGCCACCACCACCCACAGCGCCCTCCCCGCCCCTGCCACTCGCCATGGGGTCCCTCCCTGCACTGGGCGGTCTGTGGAGCCTTGGCCTCTGGCCGGGCCCCAGGACAACCCTCCTCAGGCTGGCGGGGGGCCCAGTGGGGGCCGACCCTGGGGCGTCGGGGGAACTGGCTGGGAGCCTCGGCAGGAGGCGAGGACGGGACGGGGATGCGGAGCCCCCAGGGCCCTCTCGGTCCCGCTCCTACAGGGAGCTCAAAGCCCTGGGAGGAGGGCCGGCCCGCAGTTCTGACAGCGGGGAGCTGGGCCAGTGTCTTTGGGGCGGGGGGACCAGGCTGCCACTGGGGTTCAGGCCTCCAGGTGTGGCCAGCCTTGGCACTCTGCTGTAGGAATTTCCTCCAAAGGCGCCCCCATGGCCCGGAGCCCTGCTACATCTCCGAGGGGCAGAGCTGGGGCTCCAGGAGCTGACCCTGGCCTTGGAACCCCAGCTCTACCGTTCCTAGCTGGGTGCCCTCAGGCCACCTTCTTCGCTGCCCTGTGCCTCAGTTTCCCCTCTTGGGGCTGCTGTAAAAGCATGACACGTGGCAAGCCTGAGCGCTGGCTACTATTCGCGTTTGGCAGAAGGCACCCCCCACCCCGCCACGGCGGCTAGGGCCAGGTTACCACGTGGAAAAGGCCTTCCTGTTCCAAAGCCTGCTGTGGCTCCCTGGCGTTTGGGACCCTCCCCTACCAGGCGCTTTCTGGGTGGACCCCGACCTTTGGGGCGGGTCCAGCCCCGCTCCCCATGTCCTGCCCCAGGAGGAGCTCCCGGGGCTCTCGACCTCACCCAGCCACACCTTCTCAGACCCCAAAGCCCCGTGTGATGGTGGCAAGGCCCCTGCACTGAGGGCTGGGGGCCCCAAACACACTGTGTGGGCAGTAGCCCCACTCTCCTGCGGCCTCTCGTCATCTCACTCCACGGGCACTGACCCTGACTGGCAGGCTGGAGGGCCGTGCCGGGGCCAGACGGGGTTGGCAGAGGCCCTCCCAGGCTCGTGGGAAAGATGGGTGCACAGCGACATCTGGGGCTAAGAATACCCAGCACGGCGCCCACGCCCCTCAAAGGCTGGGAAGGTGCTCATTAAGCCCTCAGAGGAAACTGTTTTTAGACTAATTCCCAGAGATTTGGACGCAGGTGTTCTGCATGGGGGGAAGGGGGATTCTAGGCTGACCTCTGAACCTGGGCTCGCCCGGGCCTCCCAAAGCCTGGCCGGCTTCCACAGGGGGACACCTGCCAGGTGGCACTGACCCCTGGCCGAGTGTCCCCCTGTGGAAGGAGGCCCCCGGCGCTCTGCCCCACCGGTCTGAATCCAACCCCCAGCCCATCCCTCCCTCCCCCAGCTCCCCGGCCGTCCATCCACCTCTGAATGCTGTGTACCCGGACAGGGCTGCGGCCGGGCCCTCGGGCCTGCGCCCCCCAAGGCTGCTACAGACCCCCATCGGCGAGGCCTCCGGTCCAGTTTCTCCGTGGCCTGGGCCTTGCCGAGGCCGGATGCAACTTGTGGCATGCTGTCTCTGCACCGAATGCCCTGCGCTCCGGCCCGGGGGGTGGGGGGCCCGGCCCGGCCCAGGGCTGCTGCACAGGATGGCACCCGAGGAGTCGCCTACCGTGCGAGGCACCTGCACCCGGACGTCCGCGCTGTCCAGCGGGGAGTGGCTGCCCTCTCGGGGCCTCTCGGCAGCCTCCAGCCCCTCCTGGTACTTCCTGCTCCTCATGGGGAGAGGGAGCACGTCCCTGCCCGGCCCCCGCCACTCCCCCACCTGGTGGCTGTCTCCATTCTGCTCCTGGGGAGGGGAGGAAGGCCAGGCATGGGCGCGGCTGTCAGCTCCCCGGCGCAGGACCCTAAGGGGGGCTGGCGGATGCAGGGCCCTGTCGACAGACACACACCTCGGCACTCAGGGGTCGGGGCAGGAGGAGGTGAGGGCCTGGGGGAGGAGAGGCAGGGCAGGGTGCTGGAGGGGCTGGCCCCACGCTGAGCAACAAGTGACCACGGCAGCCCCAAGCCTTGTTCCCCAACAGAACCCCCGACCGAACCCAGCCCCACTGGAGGACCCAGAGGCTCAGAGAGGTTAGCTCACTCCCCCAGGGCTATACAGCTCCCACCTCTGGCAGGTGGAGAGTAGGCCCGGAGCCCTACCCTGCCCAGCTTCCAGTCGGCTGGGGGTTTGCCGAGGCCTAGCTGCTCCCCCCAGGGCAGAGTCTGAGTGGGCAGGGAGCAGACAGGACATTGGGGACTATGGCTGGGTGGGGCTTGGGGGGTCTGCACTGTGTAAGGACATAGCTGGTGGGACCCTGGGATGAAGTGGGAGGGGACAGGGCCTTGTGGGGGCCTCTCCGGGGGCTGATGGCTGGTTGGTCCAGCATCTCAGGCTGCAGAGGGCACGTTGGTCTCCCATGGCGGGGATGGGTACAGATAAGAGCCGGGGTGGGTGGGGGCAGCTCGGCCAGCGCTGCCCCAGCCTCAGGAACCCGCTGCCGCACTCCACTTCTAATGGCAGGTGGCTGCCCCTCCGGCCCCAGGGGCCCCAGCTGCCCACCCTGAGCCCCACTCACCCGCTCCAGGGGGAGCCTCAGCAGGCCCCAGGTCTCTGCACTCAGCCTCTGTGTCCTCTTGGGCCTGGCACCTGGAAGACAGCAGGCCCGGTCAGCCTGGCACTGACCCCTGGCCGAGTGGTGGGCTGGCCCAGGCCAGGGCTCTCTGGGAAGAGTCGGGCTGTCAGCCTGCACTCCGGGGGCTGGCAGGGGAACTTCCCATCTCACGGTCCCCGATGGAGGCAGACGCAGCGTCCACATGGCCTTGCACCCCCCGACTGGACAAGCAGTCAGGCGTGGAGATGGGGCAGACCCTCTAGGGCCTGGGCGGGGTCTGGCCTTGGTACTCCCCACAGGCCCAGTGTCTGAGCTCCTGCCCGTGCCTGGGGCCTCCCCACCGGCCTCCGTGTAGTCCTCTCCTGGAATGCCCTTCCTACCTCCGTGCAGATGGGGCCTCAGACCCTGATCCACGGCACTCTGTTCACCCCTCAACCAACACGCACGTGGACAGCCCAGTCCCCCCACTGCCGAGCGCCCCTCCAGCTGCACACCCACTGGGTGCCCCAGGGGCCCTTGCGCAAGGGTGGGGCTGTGCGAGGTAAGGAAGCGCGGCAGGTAGAGCGAGCGAGGCCTCCGGTGTGCGCGGATGCTCCGGGGGTCCTGTCCTGGCAGCCCCAGACCCTGGACCCACTACCCTCCCTCAAGCTCAGCGACTGGTCAGACCGGGCCGCGGGCCTGTCGCCGGCAATGCAGAGGGAACGCGTGGGAAGCATCTTACAGGGCCTGGCGTGTTGTGGACACCCGCAGGCTGCGTGGCGAGGAACGCTGGCCCCCCGTGGTCACCCCAGCATGGCGCTGAGCTCCACGTGTGACACCCACAGCAGAGAGCGGCAGCGAGCCCTCAGCACGGCACCCCGACCCCAGCCTGGGCCCACACCTGCTGCCCAGGACACGGTCCCCAGAGGGAGAGGGGCCGGTTCCGGGCGTCATTCAGACCAGCGCAAACCAAACGCCTAGGGCTTCCTATGAGCGGGGCAGGTGTCCAGCCCTTCTCCCTGTCCTGGCCTCTGGGTTCTGAGGAAGCCACACCCTGTTCCCCACTCTCTAGAGGCCTTGGGTGGAAAAGCGGTGATCGGAGGAGGAGAGCATCAGTGGCGGCTGTCCCGGGAGTCCAGGGAGGGGACAGCTGCAGCAGCCTGACCAGGAGACGGCGGCCAGTGGCTCCTTGGGCCCAGGATCTGGGGCTGTCCACCGCCCCTCCCCCATCCTTTCGGCTGCTGTGGTCAGTGCCAGGCCTGCCCCTGCCCCCTGCACACAGCCCCTGGCCAGCAGGCATTGCCCAGGTGCCAAGCCAGGGAGGACCGTCTCTGGGCACGCAGCCTGGCCTCGTGTTGTGCGGCCGAAGGAGCTGGAGCAGGCCCAGAGAGGGGGTCCCCTCTGCTTGTTTCCTCATGAGGGCACCCACCCGAACACCATCTATCCACCCCGGACTGGACAGGGTGGACCGCCCACCCCGGCAGACGGGCAGCTCCGAAGGGACAGTCGGATCCGTCCCACACCGACTGGTGCCTGGGGGCGGCGCCCGGCTGTGGCTGTAACGGAGGAGCACCTCGGTTCCGGGACAGCCGAGTGGCCCTGTCAGGATGGGCAGGCCGCTGTGCGTGGCCCCTTACTCACCACAGCCAGCAACAAGCCGGTTCCATCTCCCGCCACGGGCCGGCTGACGGCCCCTTCCTTGGCGGCTCCCTGATAGCCGGGGGCCTGATTCGATGTCCCCAGCTTGTCTGCTGGGCCCCGCCTGGCTGGACAGTCAGGCCCCGGCCGCGGTGGAGGCTGAAATGCCCCTCTGAGACCCAGCTTGTGTCCGGCTCCAGGGTGGGTCCCCTCATGGCCCTCTGAGTCTGGCTAAAGGCACCCTCTGTCTGGAGCGTGGGCTGCCCTCACTGGGGCATTCAGCCCAGAGCAACGCTGACGCGCTTCCCCTCCTTCCCACCCCAGAGGGCAAGGTCTGGAAACTTCCCTGAGCACCACCCCACTCCTGCCTGAGTCTGACCAGCACCCTCGTCATCATTTCTGCCCTACAGGCTCGCGATGTGCCCCTCCCATGTGCAGCTTGTCCCACTTAGGCGGGCAACCCCGCTTTCTAACTGCTTGGCTGTGTCCCCCAGCTCCTTCCTGCCTTCAATCTCTTCCCAAATCCCAGCAGCTCCACCTTCAAAACAGACCCAGAATCTGACCCCTCCTCATCTTGCTGCTCTCTTTGCCCCCTGTTCACGCTGGGGCGGGCCAGAAAGATGCCCGCAGGGCCTGAGTTAGATCTTCTTCTGTTCACCCTGCAGGGGCCCCTTGGCATGGGGAGGGGCTTACACAGGACAGGAGCCCCCCCCATTGCTCCTCCCAGCCAGGCTTACCCAGGCCCCAGGACCTTTGCACGGCTGTCCTCCATTTAAGTTCAGGCTCACTCCCTCCTCCCCTTCCAAGTCTTTGCTCAGATGTCACTGCTATGGACCAAATGTTTGTGTCCCCCACATTCCACGTTGAAGACTCAAACCGCAACGTGATGACATTAGGAAGCAGGGCCTTGAGAGGTGATCAGGGTTGAGCCGAGGTCATGAGGGTGACCCCAGTGTTGGGATGGGTGCCCCTATAAGAAAATACCACAGAGCTTCCTCCAACCCCAGACCCCACCCCGCTGGCTCCCTGCTCTCACACCTCCAGCCTCCAGAAGCATCGGAAGTAAATATCCGTATTTTTAAGCTGCCTGTTCTGCGGTGTTCCGTTTCGCAACCCGAGCTGACGGAGACGGCGGCCCCACACGGCCCACGCACACTCACACCCAGCCTCACGGCTGTTCCTTCTTCCCAAACACCTGTAGCGTGTTATCTGTTCACTACTGTTTGCCACACACTCGTCGCCTCTGGCCGCCTTGGCCGGTCTCACCCCCTGATGATGAGCAGGCAGTTTCCTGTTTATTACACGGGACCCTGTCTGTGGCTCCCCAGGCACCGTCATGCCCGCTGCCCTCCCAAGACTCTGGGTACCGGGGCTCAAGAAAAGAGACCGCCAGCCACAGTCACGGGGCCTGGAGGGGCAGAGCCCGGGTCAGGACATGAGAGGTCAGGCCCACTTGGCAAGCTCCAGAAGGTCGAGCCAGGAGCAGCCAGAGAAGGGACAGACATGAGGACAGCCAGGACCCCCGGCGGCCTGTCTTCAGCTGTGTGTCACAGGGGCCTGGCCTGCAAGCGGGCTGCAGGCCGCGTGCTGAGTGCGCAGAGGGACAGGGAGGCGTCCACATCTTCAGCCCTCCCCAGGGAGTGCCCTCATCCCTGCCAGGCACTATCCTCAGGACAACCAGTGGGCCCAGTTCCCAGGACAGGACCATGGGGCACAGCTGGGTCAAATCACTGGGTCAGCTAGCCAGGATTGGGCAAAGCCAGAGCCAGAGCCTGCAGCCGAAATTGTGGCTCAGACATTCACTCTGTACATCCCAACTCGCTTTGGTGGCCAAACACAGTGTCCATGGACGGCCCATACCCTGTGGGACAGAAGATAGCCAGGCCCAGCTCCCCAGGGCTCAGGGCTGGCTCCATCCTCTTATGAACTGATCATGCTTCCGCGTCCCGGGTGGGTGCAGTGGGATCTCCATCTGACAAACCCATCCACCCTGGGCCCCTCACCAGAGAGGGCAGGGGCATGGCACAGCAGGAGACCTCAGGGGACTGACCCAGACCCAGGCAGCAGCGGCAGGAGGGGCCCACGTCCACCCAGACTCGTTCTGGGGTCTCTGTTGGGATGGGGCCTGCAAGGCTGGTGAGGTTAACCCACAAACTGAGCCACAGCCAGCGCCAGGCTCTGGGTCCTCCAGCTGCATAAAGGGCTCTTGTTTTCATCAGGACAGGGAAGAAAAGCCCCTGGGTCCTGGCCTCTGGCTAGCCAGCTACGCCCCGCCCACCGCGGCCCCGCCCCGGTGCTCCCCTGGCCCCCTTCAGCGCCCCCCACAAACTGACAGGCTGTACACACACAAGTGCCCCATCCCTACCCCAAAGGGTCAGTTCTGGAAACTGGGCCA